AAGGGAAACATTGAGGAACTAATGTGTTGATTCTGGGAAGAGTGTCAGGTGGTGGTTGGTGATCTTTTAATTTGAGCCATGAAATAGTAAGACTTTTTGATGTTGAGAGAGTGTTGTATTCATTGATGAACCTACTAAAGGGGATTTTGACCATCCTATTAATATAATCGGGGATTTTCAAATCAGGAATCTTGTTGAGATAGATTTTTATAATTGATGAATTAGGAGTGTTGGTAAGAGTTTGGTTGAGTACTGGCCAAAAGATGCACCAGAAGTTTGGGTGTAGTGTATATGTAAGCGTGTTGGTTGGTTTTAACACTATAATATTGTTGTCTTTTTTATTGAAATATAGATGAGTAGTAATTGGTTGTGTAATTGGAGGGGGTGGAGAAATTATTATGTGTGGGATTATTTGTGATGTGGCTAAGAAGGAGTTGGAGAGTTCCTGGATGTTATTAAGAAGATATATTGAATTCAAACGTGATGTGTACCAAACTGATTTAAGGTAATTTATGTTTTTTTCCTTAAAACATGGTTGAGCTGAACATGAACATGGGACTATTCTTTTGTTGATAAGTTGGTAGTATTTTCCTTTGATGGTTTGAGAAAAACTGGCATTAATGCGGACTTTAATGAGATTAACAGAGTTATTTTCCAAGAAGGCCCAAAACTTGATTTTGGACAATTTGGAAAGAAATGTTGAATCACCGCAAATAGAGGGTGATGAATCGGGAATAAAAGAGAACCAGACAGATATTGGCCCAGGTGTAGTATAACCTCTGTGTGTATGGAGTTCTTCCCATTGTTGTCGTCACCGGCGAGTCTGTCGCTAAAACGGTGCACTCTTCGTGTGATGATAATCCGAACGCTTGGATTATGGCACTAAAATAAGGTAAGGCTTTAACTCCAAGGTGGTTACAATTTGGCCAACTTTCGTGCACTTGCTAATCTCTTCTTGACTGTCTTTCCCTCTAGGCGCGTCTCAAGATTACAAGTGTCACTCTCTTACGGTACAAAAGTAACGTCGCGTCTCTCCTTTTCAAAGGCGATTTACTTTACAATAGTGGCGCGAACTTAGTTTATACTTTAAGGAATGTATCTTGTTTATTATGCGAAGCGACGTAACATTTATTTAATAAAGCGCGAGTGTGCCAAAAACAGAGATGTGTTCTAAAACGGAACTGATCTAGAACTTAGAACTTGTTGTTCGAAACTAACTCTAAAACTATCCTATTTATATGTCCTGTTGACGCGTAAATACCCAGTTTATGCTATTACTAATTATTACATCATTCCATCATCACTGTCTCTATTATTTCGCGTCGTGCCACAATATCGTGTTCTCATCCCTATTGTTCCCATAACATTTCCCCACGCTTATTTTGTACGCTCCGCGTATAAACCTTAGTTAAGCTTTTCTCGTTCATAGTACTTCTTTAGGATCTTTACGTTTACTGGACTGGCTATCACTCGCCCATCTAACGTTCGTAACTTATAAGTGTCACCCACGAGTCGTTCATGAATATAGTAGGGCCCTTGCCATTTTGGTCCAAACTTATTGCTTTTAGAATATTCGAGAGCGGCCCGATACATCAGAACCTTATCCCCAATATCATAGACCGTGGCGGGTAGATAATGTGCATCGTAATATATTTTCTGTTTTTCTTGGGACTTGCATACTTGACTAATTGCCTTTTCTCTGTTCTTAGGTAAGGTATCCGTTAAGTCAAAGAGTCTTTGCAAAAACGTTCCTTCCAGCCCTTCTTCATTCCTACTTGGATGTAGTGGTTGTCTAGCTTCGTGGCCATAAACCAGGTAAAATGGAGACATCTTGATAGTTGAATGCTTCGCCGTTCTGTATGCAAATAGAATAGGAGGAACCAGCAAATTCCACTCAGTCACGTTTTGTACCAGTTTAGCGATCAATTCACACAAAGTGCAGTTAAACCGCTCCACCAGCCCATTCGTCTGGGGATGGTACGGTATCAATAACTGGTGTTTCGTCTTCAACTTTTCAATTAATTCTTTAATTATATTGTTACGAAAATGTGTGCCGCGGTCGGTGAGTATTCGTTCCGGGCAACCATGCCGACAAATGATTTCATCATACAGGAAATCCGCAACGGTTTGTACATCGGCTCATTTCACGGCTTTAGCTTCTGGCCACTTCGTCATATAATCCACAGCGACTAAGATATACCTATTTCGACGAGGTGTGCTAGGGAGAGGTCCTGTGAAGTCAATACCAACCCGTCTAAACGGCGCTTCCACTGGTATTGGTCGCAGCGGCCCAGGCACACATCCCCGACCTCGACGTTGACACTGATCACATGTCTGTACGTACGTCCGAATGTCACCAATTATTTGTGGCCAGAAGTAAAGTTCTTTCATCTTACTAATCATTGCCTCTTTATCGAGATGACCGCCCAGTGGATGTGTGTGCATAAGAAACAATATCGACTCCACTTCGTGCCATTGTATCACATGTAGAAGACGTCCCTTCACCTTTCGATCCCTCATGTACATAATTCCGTCCTTGAATACATATCGCTTACTCTTTTCGATCAATCGTTGTTTATCTTTGTTCGTCATATTTGCTGGTATCCTTCATTCGTGTAAGTAACCCCTTAGCTGATTGTAAGATGTCGCGTCCATTACTATCCTAATGCCTGATTCTCAACACAAGAAAAAGTGACTTTAGCATCGACATATCATGATTCCTATTATAGCGGCTAAAGTTTCGTCATGATGTCGTTATCTATGATATTTTTTTTATTATTATTATTATTATTATTATTATTATTATTATTATTATAACTGGGCTCTAGTCACAAGACTAGAGGCGCGATAACGCATCAGCGTTATTGTGCTTCTTTCCCTTTTTGTGGATGATCGTAAAATTAAAAGGTTGCAGACTCAATATCCATCGGACGCGCCTTCCTGAAAGTTTTGATGTTTGCAACCATTTTAATGCAGTGTGATCGGTTACAACTACGAAGTGACTCATGCCATAATAATGTTGGAAATGTTCGACCGCCCAAATTACGGCCAAACATTCCAACTCCGTCGAGACGTAATTTCGTTCGTGTTTGGTCAATCCCCGACTAGCATACGAGATCACAAATTCTTCTCCATTGTCGTCTTGTTGCGCCAGAACTGCACCTAACCCTGATTCAGACGCATCTGCGTGAATATAAAACGTCTTTGAATAGTCTGGATATCTTAGTATTGGTGTCGTAATTAAATATTTTTTTAGTGTTTCGAATGCATGTTCCTGCTCTGCCTCCCATTTGAACTTCACGTTCTTCCTCATTAACTGGTGTAATGGACGTGCAATTGTTGCGAACTCCCCAATGAACTGTCGGTAGTACGAGGCTAACCCGATAAACCCACGTAACTGCCGCAAGTCCCTGGGTACAGGAAAGTCCCTAACCTTAGCAATCTTTACGTCATTTGGTTGAATTCCATTTCTCCCGACGATGTGACCTAAAAACTGAATACTAGCACGAAAAAACTTACATTTCAAGAAATTAAGCTTTAGTCCGGCTTCCTTGAGCTTTTCGATTACTAATTCCAGATGTACCAAATGTTCCTCAAATGATTTGGAATAAATTGTCATGTCGTCCAAATACACCACCACAAATTTCCCAATAAAATTGTGAAGAATCGTATTCATCAGCCTTTGAAACGTGGCTGGTGCATTACAGAGCCCAAATGGCATAACGTTAAATTCATACGTTCCCCACGATGTCACGAACGCTGTTTTTTCCTTATCTTTCTTCTTCATCATCACTTGCCAATAGCCTGATAACAAATCAATAGTACTGAACCACTCGGCATCAGCGAAGGCTTCGATCAGATCGTTGACTCGAGGTAAGGGGTAAGCGTCCTTTTTCGTTACCCTGTTTAATTTACGGAAGTCGACACACAACCTTAGCTTCCCCTCTCTTTTCGGTACCACTACTATAGGCGATGCCCATGGACTTCTCGATTCACAAATTAATCTCCGCTCTTTTAACTGCATAATTTCTTCCTTAATGAATTCCTTTATGTCCGGGGCAGCCCTATACGCATTTTGTTTGATTGGGATTGCATCACCTGTGTCAATAGTATACTGTACCACCCCGGTGGTTTCTAACTCTTGAACAGACTGCGCCAAGACATCACTTTCCCTTAACAGCAATTTCTTTGCTTGTTCTACTTGTTCTTCGGCTAATTCTTCCGCAACTTCTATGTTCTTTATCTTTTCTTCTAGTGTTTTCGTCGATTCTTCATTTATTGTTGTCAGTAATTCCTCTACTTGAGACAAGTAAGCCGCTGGTCCTAAATTATTCATTCGATCTTCACTATCAGAATTCAGGTCATTCATCTCTTCTTCGACGAAATATCCCTTCCGTTCATCTACTTCCTCTTCTTCGTAAATGACTTCATCTAGAATTTGATCTGTTTCATCTTTGTCCCACCCTTCATCATTTGGTTCTTCTTTCTCACCTTCGTTCACCAGAATCTTTTTCGTGACGTCATTAGAGATAGGTATTTTAATTATTTTTCCGTTATGTTTTAGTACAAATTTTTGTTCATCGTAATAAATTCTTGCTTTGACTCTCTCGAACCAGTCATTTCCCAGCAGGAAGGTTTCATCAGACAAATCAACCACTTGCAGTGGTGTAGGGATTTGACTTCCTTGAATCGAAATTTTTAAACTATTAATATTTCCTAAAGTTCTAGTTCTCAATCCCGTGAGTGTTACTATTTTCGTTGTTGACTTTTTCTCGATCTTTAGCTTGAGCTTATCCATTAATTTTTTTGTGATAAAGCTCACAGCGGCCCCGGTATCGACTATCGCCACTATAGGGACATTCTTAATCTTTACTTGACATTTCATGGCTGTTGTTTTCTTCTCTTCTGTCTTAACAAAATACGTTTCTTCCAACGGTGGAGGTGGCGGCCTCCGGAGCGCTTTTGCCAGCATCTTACGTTGATTCGCGTATTGCAGCATTTGCCCGATCGTAGCACTTGCGTTCTTGGACAAAAGATCATCAACTACATTATACGCAGGTGCCTGTTCTATTACTGATGGACCTCGTCTTCTACGTGGTTTCTTGACAGGTGGCACTTCTTCCATTTCTTCATCCTCATCAGGCAGCGGTTGATCATCATCATATTCTGGGATCTGCACGTTCGGGTTTGGTCTACTCCTTAGTCGACCTTCCCAAACCGATTCCAAACTTGGTACGACTTTCTTTCCTTTGTTTCCACTTCCGTAGGGATAGTGTTCTTCTCCCACGTACGCTTGATATTCACTTGCATCCTCATCCTCCAGGATTGTGTATTGAACCAGGTTTGTTTGAGAGTTACTTCTTGACGTATTTTCCTTCTTTGGACAGTTACGTGCAAAATGACTCTTTTCTCCACACGTGTAACAGCTTCGATCTCCTACACCATTAGAGGTCTTTGGCCTATTTTTACTATTTTGTTCACTTGACGCCGGTCGCCTATAGCCCTCTTTCATTTCCCGAACTTGCTTGAGCAGTTCTTGAATATCGCTTTCCATTTTCCGAGTTCTACTCGTATCTCCATCTATTACAAAACCTAAATCGTCCTCGACCCTTTTCGCCTCATCAATGGCCTCTCTTAATGAGATGGAGTTTGCCACGGCAGGTATAGATGCCATCTTCTCTTTTAACCCATTGGTAAACATTCTTACTACACAGATTCTCGTGTACTTGCCACCGGAATCAACTCTCTTTAACAGTTGCTTAAACCTATGGGCGTACGTCATTACCTTCTCATTGTTCCCTTGTTTTAGACTAAACAACTCAGCTTGCCATCACCGTCATTGTTCGGTCAACACAAAGTAGTGCAGAAAGGTTGGTACGAAACTCCTTTGACGGTGGCGCTCATTATCCCAGTATGTTAATTGAGCCTCGTATTTTTCATACCAATCTGAGGCCATTCCTTCTAAATAACTCACCACCATTTCCAACTTATCTTCGTTCGTTCAACGGTTCACTTTAGCTACCTTTTCGTAATGTTCCAACCACGAATATGGGTCCTCGAGCTCTTCCCCCCTGAACTCACGTATCTTAACCCATTGAACTTCTCTTCTTCTTTTTTCTCTTGCTTCCGTCTTTGGTTCTTGGCGCCCTACATTTAATTGATTAATCGCGTTTACTAGTTCTCGCAAAACATTTTGTTGTTCATTCGTTTGGGGTGATTCTAATTCGATCAAATTTTCATTGTTTTTGCAGAAAAGATCATCCATCTTTTAATTAATAAATTAAACAAAAGTTACGAGGAGATCACGAGTTCCGTTCCGATTTTCCGTAGAAGGCAAGATCTTGTTTTCTCGTTGTTCTCCCCTACACAGTAAAGGAAATCACATCAATACAAGCTGCGCAAGCAATTTGGTGTTGCCCAATCTGCTTTCCC